AGGACTCGTGGATGGGGTCTGTCTCCCCACCCTGCAGCTGTGACAGTCTCTGCTGCCTGCCTTGAGTCCCCCTTGCCTCTTCAAGCCTTCAGTAAGCGAGGTGACCCTTTCTCTGCAGACCTTCCTGGCGGTCACTGCCTCTGCTAACCCACTTCCTCCCCTTGGGAATCCACAAGTTCAGGGGCATGACAGCCTGCTCTCAAAGAGCCCGTGTTCCCTTCCTGCTGGCGCGGGCAAGGCACTGGGCAGCAGGAATCATTTGGGTTTGACAGTAGTTTGTTCTGTGCCTTCCTCTCCAGGGGACATCCGCAACCTCCTTGTCTGGATCAAGAAGAATTTGCTAAAAGAGCGGCCAGAGCTGTTCATCCAGGGAGACAGTGTGTGAGTCCCTTTCTTCCCTTCCCTGAGGGGGTGGGCAGAGGGAAGGAGTTCTGAGCCCCTCGCTGAGTGTCCAGCCACCGCCTTCTCCATTCCTGTTGTCTCCTTTGCCATCCCCTGACCCTCTGAGGAAAGAGCGTGCACTGTTGTTACCACACAATCGTTGGGGACTTTTTAACACCCAGGTCAGGAGACTGGTAAACTTCTCCCGGTCACCACAAACCTCCTTCTGGTTGCCACAAACTTGCTGTGGAACCTTAGGCAAGTTACTTCACTGCTCTAGGCCTTGGCTACGCTCTCTGTTCAGAAGTACTGAGGAAAAGAAGCTGCCCAGCGTCCCTTTCCTTCCTTGACAGTCTAGAACTTTCTGTGATGATGGACGTGTTCTGTATCTGTGCTGTCCAATATGGTAGCTGCTGGGCACGTGAGCCTATTGAGCCCTGGAAATGTGGCTAGTGTGACTGAGGAACTAAATATTCATTTATTTCATGGTCATTTAAATTTAAACATGCCTAATAGATACCATATTGGACGGCAGAGGTCTAGGATTCTAGGGGGTCACTCAGTGCATGTGCACACACAAACACACACACATTTGTGCCCACTGAAGACACCCCTACTCTCAGCCCACAGCCCCTCGACCTGTGCCAGGCCCAGCTCAGCCTCCTAGGCAAGGAGCCAGGTTCCAAGTGCACAGAAGTCACTTCTGCAACAGGCCAGCCTCAGGGGTAGAAGCGGTGGGCAGGGTACTTGTGGGACTCGTTCATCTGCCCTGAAGCAGAGGTCACCAGCCGGTCCTGGGGCATCCAGCCCCGGGCTCAGATCATGGTCCGGGAGTCATGGAGGCCACCCCCAAGGCCAGCAGTACTTCTTGGGCCACTGCCAGCAGGAGCCAGGCAAGGTACCCTGCCTGACACCAGGCAGGGCTGCCGTAGGCTTTTGGGTGCTCGGAGCACTGGTGGCCTCCCTGGCTTGGAAGACTGAGACAGACCCTTGGAAAAACATGCAGCTGCCAGTGGGCACCACCACAGACGCAGGCGGGAAGCACCTCACATCATCCCCGTTCATCCTCGCACAGGCCTCGTGGGGGAGGCACTGTCATTTGCCCCACGTTCAGCAGAGGAAACTGACACTCCGGGAAACAGTGACCTGCTGAGACCTGGGCGGCGGTGCTGGGATTTCCGTGTGGCCCCAAGGCTGTGACTGTCTGACCCTGTTTCCATTAGATTCAGACTGTCACCTCTGCTTCCTGGGAGATGTTTAACAGGAACCTCAGGAGGAAAGGCTCCCACCACACTCTCCTCAGCCCCAGCGTCTAAGCCTCTCTGTCCTTGCTACTGCCTGCCCCCTGCCCTTCCCTCCCTGCTATTCACCACCATCTTTCCCACAGGCGGCCAGGGATCCTGGTGCTGATTAACGATGCAGATTGGGAACTGCTGGTCAGTACCTCGGGACATCCCTCCCCCACCCCTGCCCCTCCCGGCTTTAGTGGGCAAGCCGAGGGCCTTTCCTGAGGCCCAGACAGGGTGACTGAAGAACCCTCCGTCCCACTCTGGCCTCCAGACTGAGGCCACTCCGGTCTCCCACCCGAGAGGAAGGAAAGGGGAGCTGGGGGAGTGGTGAGCTGTCCTCCATCCTGGACATTTGCAAGTTAAAGTACAGGGTACCTGGTTTTCTGGTACATTCTATCTTTCCCAAAACAACCAGGTGTGCGCGTGCACCCCCCCACCCCCGCCCTCCCGACACCTGGGGAGAAACTGGGAAAGTGGCCCTGATGGTCTCCTCATTTCTCTCCTGGACCAGGGTGAGCT